CACACACACACACACACACACACACACACACACACACACACACACACGTAGGCAGCAATGTCCCAGACAAGAAAGCACTGGCCTCCCTGTGGCAACCTGGACCCGGCCAAAGGGTTACGGAAGGAGCAAGACTCCAACTCTCAGAGCCCCCCACATTCCTCAGTCTTTCCTGCCCATGAAAGGCAGCAGGTAGCTAAGTACAGGGACTCAGGCCTCCCTAGAGCTAGCCAAACCTTGAATGAGTTGGCCACGTGACCCTGAGTGGTTCCCCTAAACTCTTGGGGCCTCAGTTTTCGTTCTGTGGAATGGGAAAAGTGTCCTGAACAGGTCTGAAATAACTACTAGACCAGCCTGGCACCCTTTGCCTGTGGGCACTCTCCTGGGAAGAGCAGGACCTGCTTGGCCACCTCGCTTCCATCCTGCCCGCAGACTCAGGATCTAAGGCTGATAAGACTTCCGTTTTCACTCCAGAGGGAACTCAGGCAGACTGTAAATGGCCTGCCCAGCAGAGCCCTCACGAAGAGGTGGCTCAGAACAGCCCCACAGGCCTCCGGGCTGTGTCAGGGGTTGGGTGCGTTAGCTCCCTGAGCTCTGCTTCTGTACCTGAGCGAAAGAGGCAGGTCACAGCAGTGCCTGGCACGCAGTGAGTGTCAGCAGGCAGATGCAGGATGCACTGGATGGTCCAGGATGCCCTCCTGGACCCTCTCTCTTAGGAGTTTCTGTTTTAAATCGAGATGGTCATGAATATGCAGATGAGGCAAATCCACCTTAAGGACTGGGTATCCCAGGATCTGAGGCGGCTAAGCCAGAGCCTCTCTGTTCCACCACGGCTCAGAACCTGATGGCCGGTGATGAGAGGCAGGCCATGGAAACCTGGCTTCAATTAGAAGACTTTGGGGGAGGGGGCTCTGACTAAAACACCATAGCCTCAGCCAGTTCCCTCAGGGCCACCAAGGACAGGGACCTGGAAGGAGACACGCAAGCTCACACATATGCAGGACTACCACCACCACGACCACCACCAACAGCAGCAGCCAGCCAGACCCACAGCACAGACTCGAAGACTCACACTTAACTCCAAGACACTCCAGCAGGCTCCCACCGTCCCCAGCGATTGTACACAGTACACCAGCGGCTGCATCCGACAGCCCAAGCACAGCACATGGGACAATACAAGTTCACACCACCAGCACCACCGGCCTTGCAGATGACATCCTGGCATCCCCCCCCCTCGTCCCCTCTACATGCATGCACCCTTCTAGTGATCCATGCACACACCTTATCCCATGCATGCTCACAGCCTCTAACACACACTCAGTTTGCACACACACGCACACACACTTAGGGACTCTGCAAAGTCCTCCCAGAGCCCCCAAGCAGCAGCAGGCTGGTTCTTACCCGGTCCCCTTGAAGGCCTGGGTGCAGACAAGCCTGGCCCGCTAGACACTCCGACAGTCTGCCCGCCGTCTGCCGCCAGCTGCTCTGGCTGGTGCCTGCTCGCCTTGGCCTCCAGGCCCTCCCCCTTCCTCCTCCCCGAGCTGGAGGGCCAGCTTGATTTCATTAAGAGGGCTTGGGGTGGGGACAGTGCGGGGCGGGACTATCCTGGGCCACACGCAGTCCCACCCTCCTCACACTCCAAGCTCGCTTCCTCCCGACCTCAGGTCCCCTGGGCAGACTCAGACAGACTGACAGACAGAGGGGCTCCCAGGAGCTCTTCCCCAGGAACTTTGAGCAGGGGTCCTTCCCATCCCCCCACCCCCTGTGGGGAGGAGGTCAGGAGGCCCTGAGGCCCCTGGAAGTGGGAAGGAAAAGTCTCCGAAGCATGGCACATTCCAGCTGTGACTCAGGATTTCCAGGCTTAGGGTGCAGAGTGGGAATGGAGCTGTTTCAGGGAAGCCTGGTGACGCTGAGTTCAGCCACTGCCCTGTCCCTTTCTCCGCAGGCCTCAGTTTCCCCATTCTTAGGGATGAGAGGGAGCTCCCTGGGGTGCTGGCATCCTGTACTATGAGGCCCCACAAAGCCGCGGGCAGCATAAGCAGAAACTATGAGCCCATTCCACAGAATCGGGAAGAGGATGGGGAGGGCAAACAGAGCAGCTAGGTCCTGAGGACAGGAATTAACTAGCCCTGAAACACCATGGATACCTGACCTGGGAAGCCCAGTGATCCATGGGCCCTTGAATTCACTCACTCACTCACTCCCTCATTCACTCATTCACTCATTCACTCATTCACTCATTCATTCTCTCGTTTATTTCAGTCAACGCCTGTATATGCCTACACTCGAGGTCAGGGCTGAGCAGGTCCCAGCCAGACAGCACACAGACATGGCCCTACCTGTAGGAGGCCGCAGCCTTCCGGAGCTATGTGTACCACAGTACATCATGGGGTGTGCACTGCCCTTCTGCAAAGCAGAAGGGGCTCCATGGCAGGAGAGGGCCCACTGGGGAGCCAGGCAGGAAAGCCAGTACACCCCGGAACCCCACCTGTAAGCAAACGGAGCCTGGCAAGAGACTTCAGGCAGTGGCCAGTGGCCAGGAAGGGTTGGTGTGATGACAGAGGCGTGAGGTGGACCAAGCGAGGTAGGTCAGGAAGAAAGGCCAGTGACAGAGCGCCTGCTGGAAGGTGTGGGGCTGGCGGCTAGGAGTTCATTCATCTCTGCCCAGTTATGAGCCTCATCGCCATATCATGGCTGTGCCTTTCGATAGTCCCAGCAGCCCCTACTCATGTCCAGAAAGAGGGTGGTCATTTGTAAAGCCAAGACTCCCATGCTTTCCCTAGATTCCCACAGTGTCACCACGGAGGGAGGTGGAGAGGCATGCCCACTGAGGACATGCATACTCATGCAGTCCTGCGCCCCCTCCCCCTTACCTCAGAACAATGGTGTGAGAATGATCCTGGCCCTGCCTAACCTGCCTCAGACCAGCCATCAGCTTTAGGAGCAGCCAGCGCTCCCTGCTCCCTGGTGCCTCTTTCCAGGGAGCAAGGCCTGCCCTCAGGACTGCTGTCAGAGCTCTGTAAGGAACAGCCAGAATCTGAAGCTTCCTACATGCCTGGGCTATGGGTCCCATTCTCCGCCCTGGTCCAGCAGCCACGCAGGACGCTCAAGCAGTCAGCTCAGGATGAAGGCTCCGTGTGGGGACCAAGGGCTGTCATGTCCCCACCCAAGGTTTCTAGCCATGCTAACAATACTCTTCACCATGGAAGCCTCCATGACACGATCGCAGGGTAGACCAGGGGTCGGCCCCAAATTGGGGCCGACACACTCCTGTCTTCTGGCCCAAGGGAGACAAGCCCTACCTTGGGGCTGGTTGAGGCTGGGGCAGGGTTTCAGACCCAGATGCCAGCGTCCGTGCATTCTCAAGTCGGTCATGCAACTCGATATAAGTGCAGAACCAGACCCACCCCCGCCCACGTCCTTCACCTTTCTCAGTGTGACTTGACGGCTTCTACTTCCTTTTCATCTTCTCCTTTCTTTTCGCTTTCTTTTCTTTCTAGACAAGAGTCTCTTGCATGCCCAGCCGGTTCAAATTTGACGTGTAACCAGGTACATTGTTGAGCTTCTGGTCCCCTACCTCTCTGCCTCCTGAGTGCTGGGGTTTCAGCCCCAGGCGTGTACTTCGTGGGACCCAGGGCTGCATGCCTGCTGGGCTGCTGAGCTGCCTCAGCTCCCTGATTCTGCTATGTTACAGGCGGGGGCAGGTGCTTGGCTCTGCTATGGATGGTATAGCGTTAAGGAAGAGTCTGGACATGCCCAGTGCAAATGTGGTCATTTCTGAGCAGCCACACCCTGCCTGGTACCTGGGAGAGCTCTGCCCTGCAAAGAACAGCACCGAGGTGCCCAAACGCAGCTCTGCCGGTGTTTGTGGAGATGCGAGGGAGTGACGCTTCATACCAGAATAGGAAACTGAGGCTCACCGTGCAGCGACATGCCCTGGGGTAATGGAAGGCTGGGCACGGGGTCTCCTTCTGATGCACCATTTCTATTTCCAAACCTGTGAAAATGTCCCTGGAGCAGTGAGCCACCTCTGACTGGGCTGTTCCCACAGCACAGCCCCTCTCCCACCTCCACCTGCCTGGGGAAAGGGATGGTGGGAACACACACACCTATTCACACGCACATGTGTTCACACAGTACATACAAATGCACACGTATGTACAGCTTTTCTCACCCTGCTCCCCACCCATAACCCGAGATATTGAGCAAGTGCCATTCCTGAGGAGCAGAGACAGAAGAACCCAGCTCCCAGCCACTGCAGATCACAGCACTTCCCCTGGGCCACAGCTAAACATGGGTTTGGGTTAGATACTGCCAACCCTCAGGCTCCCTCCTAGAGACATTCCAGATTCCACCTGCTCTGCAGATACGCCCGTGGCATCCAGCTCACAGTCAGGTCCTCGGAGCCCGTGATGAGCCAACAGGCCTGAGCTCACTAAGGAGGTAGGAGAACGGCAATAAACAAGCGAACCACAAAGGGCCCGCTGACTATACAATGGGCTGAGAGCTGGGAGGAGCCCCTCAGGGCTACCACGGGAGTCTAGTCCAGTCCCGAGCCTCTGCTTTAAGAAGTGACACCAGTGCCGCCCTCAGAGATGGAGAGAAGGTGTGTAGGAAGGCATGGAAGCTGGAGAGCTCCCTGCAGCTGGACAGCACGTGCAAAGGCCCTGAGGTGCTCAGGAGAGCAGTGCCACCGAGGCAGCCCCTAAATATTGTCAGGCCAGCGCGAGCGGGCCAGCTCTGCGTGGACAAAGAACTTGTGTGGGGCCCTGTCCTCACGCTAGAATCTAGGACAGCAGGACAGCGGGCCTCAACCTTCCTAACACTGTGCTCCTTTAACTTAGTTCACCGTATGAATTGTTTCATTGCTCCTTCATAACTTGAATTTTGTTACTCTTGTAAATCATAATGTAAATATCTGACACGTGGCCCTGTGGGGGGTCGCAACCCACAGGCTGAGAACCACTGGCTTCTTGAATGACGGCTCTGCCATCTGATCCTGCACCTTCAGGCATGTGTCAGCCAACACTATGAGTGAAGCCTCGTCCTCCTCCGGTGTCTCATACCACGTCCCGAGGTTTCTGGGACACGTGTGGGGCCCCACTGTGGCATCCATGAGGCATGGGCAGGCCTGTGGTGTGGAGCACAGGCTGGGCTGGTCACTTGCAACCCATAATTTCAGAGGCCCGGAGCAGTGCCAGGGTCTCTGTTCAGCCTGGAAACACTTCAGAGGCTGTGCCCTGAACCCCTTCAATTAGCAGTACTGCCCTGCTCAGCAGCCCTGGTCAATGGAGCTTGGGAGGGCTGGGAAACGCCCCTAGCTTGGGTCTCTGCTGAGATTCTCCCTTTTGAGCTCTGGGCAGTGCCAGCCCACCACAGACCCCCAGCTCCAGCCCCTCATGGGTCCAGGGCTACATCTAATTACACACCCCTGAGCAGTGGGGCCTGCCTTCCAGACAAAAATAGCTAGGCCTCTCATGTGGTTAGAGGCCTGGGCTGTAGCAGCAACACAGCCCAAGCGTGGCCTGTGGCATAGCATCCAGCCCGGGGCTCCCAAGAGGCCTGGTGGCTATGTCTGACCGGGCCAGAGCTCCAGCGGTGCTGTGTAACCAGCCTGGACCTTCATTTTCTCATCAGAAAATATGCTACACTCATTTATTGAACACCTACATGTCTGGGGCATACAACAACCAGGCTTTGTGTCAAGTTTCTCCCGTTGGATCAGGGTATCTCTCTCGACCTGGGCATCCTTCGATCTCCTGTGCATCTTCCACCCTGTGCCTGTGGGAGGGAAAAATGGCGGTGCTGTGGGCAAGGGTGCTGGTTTCTAGATGAGATGGCAAACCTGTGAGACAGCAATCACACCCTTGGGTGTCGACCCGAGAGTATGAAGACATCCACACAAGGACAAAGGTCTGTGGCAGCTTTCCCCACAGCGGACCCCACACTGGAAACATCCTGGCCCTTGGCTGGAAGTTTGCACACGTGTGGTCTACATTAGTTAATTTTCTTGCTGTGGCCACCTGCCGGAACAAGTTAAGTGGAGAAGGTTTTGTTCTGGCTCATGATCTCAGAAAGTTCAGTGCAGGGCATCGGGGTGGATGGAGTCTGTGGCAAAGATGAGTTGTTTACCTCACAGCAGACAGGAAGCCGAGAGAACGGGAAGAGCGGGGAACAGGAAGAGCGGGCAATCCCCGCTCTTCTCAGGTGTCTAGGCCATGCCCAGTTCACGGAGGTAAACAGAACATTCCCTCAATTGGTTGAGTGCTTACCCAGTACATGCAAAGCCCTGAGTTCATCCGCAGCAATGCAGAACCAGGCATGATGGCACATGTCTGTAATCATCGAAGACGGGAAGCAAGAGGAGGATCAGGAGTTCAAGGACTTTCTTGAGAATAATGAGGTCAAGACCAGCCTGGGCTACATGAGAACCTGTCTCATGGATACAGACACACACACAAAACAACAACAAAAAGACTGCCTCTCCTGTATATAGCAGTGCACAACTAGAAAATGAGAG